ACTGTGAGAGGAAAGGAAAAATCAGAAGTGTGTGTGTGGGATTTTTTTTTTTTTTTATTTTTGCCGGGGTACCCCAACTGTAAAAGAAGAATGCACATTGTGTAAGAGAGAGGGATATATATTCAAGCTGTAAGGATGGGCCTGCCTCTTGGCAGGGAAGTGGCTCGCAAGAATACGCACATCCCAGCTACAAAGAGGGAGGATGTCATTGTAGAGACTTAGAGCTTGGCAGACAATAGCTCACACACAGAATAGGGGAAAAAACAATGGGCCCCTGAAGAAGACCTTGCCCTTAATAGCCTTGTTCACTAACCATCCCTCTGATAAGCTACAAAATTTTACTAAACTTAACTTGTCCTGTGTGACTTGCAGACTACTACCTATTCCACTTTTTAAAGAGAGACAATATTTTTCTCAGCTCTGGAGCACCTCTCCTGTTCAACAGACTTTCCAAGTCCACTGGCCCATATCACAGCTCAGGAGTCACTTCTGCCAGCTCTTTTAGCACCGGAGAAGAGAGTCTGTCTTGATCTGGTAACTAGAACTTATTGAGTACAAACGAGTTCTTTCTTACCTCTTTATATCCAACTGATAGTTCTTTCAAAAGCCCAGGTAAGACATTCCTTTGCTTAAGAAACTTACATCTTTTCCTCTAGGATAAAATAGAAATGCTTTCAAAAGCATTTAAATTCATTTACTGTCTGGCTTCAACCAGACTGCTCTCCCTCACTCCTCATGTACTTTGTTCCAGTCAACCTGGCCAATTTTTTATTCTCCATGCAAGATATTTTGTCTCCCACCTTGGTACCCTTGCTCAAGCTGTCCTCCAATTCCTGGGTGCACCTCCTCCTCACCTTTTCCTCTTGGAATCCCTGTCTGTTTTCTAGGCTCCTTTCAAGCCTGGCCACCTACAGAAGGCCTTTCCAGATTTCCTCACATTAGTGTTCCAACACTCGAAATTACTTTGTGTACATTTTGCATTAATTTCTCTGTTTACATCTTGGTTTATTCCTGGAGAAAGGAAATTGCATTTTTATATTTTTTGTTAAATAT